TCCAAGATTAGCAAGATCCAAGAAATCAAGATAAAGCAAGACTCTTCCAAGACTCTTCCAAGATTATCAAGATAAAGCAAGATTCTTCCAAGATTATCAAGAAAGACTCCAAGAAGTATCAAGATTAACAAGATAATCCAAGATCCATGCATCTAGGGAGATCGAACGGTGGAGATCAAACCAAGAAGAGTTTGATCCTATCAAATTAGATATTTAGATCTATCATAGTTGTTATTTCCTAGTTCTTTTACAATTTCCAAATATATTATAAATACTGTTATTTTCCCAAAATTAATCATCAATTGATACTTCATATTTTTAGAATTTCTTCAAGTTCTCTTCTTCCAATTTTCGCCACCTTTTCTCTCTCCTAGAGAATTTGGTGTTCTTCGCTAAAAGCTAGCGATCGCCCGGTGCTTGCATAGCCAATCCGGTCTCTCATTGCTTCCATGCTGCATCAAAAATACCCCTAAAAATTCATATCAAGCTTCTCAAAAGAAATAAGGTTTGATTCTCAAATCTATCAAAATGGCATCCCGAGTTCTTTGTTAGCAAATGGTTTGTCTTCATTCTTCAAACAAATAAATTTACCAAATAGAGTTGTTTCCTATGTTTTACTAGGGACAAGAATGATATTTTCATTTTTGCTTTCAGTAGATTAAATTTGTTTGAAGGGATGTTAGGTCAAAACTATCATTTTCCATAGCCATCTAATGGAAGGTCAAACCTAGCCTAGAATCTGGAAAATCGATCCATATAAATATCAGGGTTCGTTAGAAAAATGAAACCCTAGAAAGTAATGCTTCCTTTTGTGAAGAAAGAGCAGTTTATCTTGCACTATATTCAACATAAATAAATCAGTTTACCTTCTCTCTCTCCGGAGACAGTGATGAAATGGCGTCTACAATGAAGAATACCCCCTTCCTCTATGACAACGGTGGGTGAAAACTTCCCCTTCGGGAACAAACACACTAGCATCAAATATTGCTTTACCCTTCAGCTATATTGGCCATTTCGCTGTGAGGTTTGCCAAGAAGTCCAACAGAGAATAGTTCGTGGTGAGAATGCAGGGGTTTTCACAAGGTTTTGTCCGAAAGGTGAATATTTTACACACATTTGGTTTTTGGGGTGAGAAGGTCAGTTTTGTCCTTTTGAATTATTGTACATGCACCTAATGACCTAACGGGGGTATTCTGGTAAAATTTCACCTTCCGCTATCATGGCTAACGGAAGGGGCTTCTTTGCCTAACAACCAAAGTAAAGGGGTCTTTGTCGCATATTAAAGTTTAAGGGTATCTGTCACTAAAGAGGGTCTGTGTAATTTAACCGATGATGATGATGAAAAACGCATGTACGTATTTAGTCGTAATATACACAATAAAAATAAACCGAACAAATCAATGGTTTAACCATGTAGATTGAAGGGCCATTGACCGAATCAGTGATTCCTCTAGCATATTCCACTAGAGGTTGACCCAAAACATTGACCGGATCACTAACCCGATTGGCCAGATCAACAATGGACAAACTGAGGCCCCTTATTTGGAAGAGTATCCAAATAACATCCAAACACACACACCATTGTCCAGCTAATTGACTAATTCATACATTTTAGGCTATTTATTTCGTTGTCTAGTAGTTGTAGTAGAACTTCTATCCGCCGTCCAAATGTACAACCAAAAACATTCTCTTGCTTCTGTGTTTCTACTTGACTCATTAGCTTGGTTAATATAGCCAGGTGGGAACCCATATCAAATAGACCGTTGATCCTCTGTCCCATGGGGCCCATATTCTTAGATATTATATGTAATGGCCCACTGGCATTTTGGCTAACAACTTTTTGGTTTGACGAAAAGGACATGGAAGGCTAATTCCCTCGTTCTGTCCTTCATAGTTTATGCTAAAATCGTTCTCTCATCCTTCCATTTCAATGTACGTAGTGGTGGTTGAATAGGGGCCCTAATTTCACCTTCTAAGTACATTTGCCACGTGGCAAAGAAAAGGAACATTCCCTTTTTTTAGAAATAGTTTAGAACCCCCAACTGGGTCATGGGCGTTGCATGTATGAAGAGATTGCTTATAGGCCCAGTCCACAGGGTTAATTTCTCATTATATGGATAATTTGAGTTGGCTTTGGCCACATCACCCCCTTTTATATATGTTTCCCATAACACTAGTATTCCATAAAAGAGCTATCATGTCTTGGCATAAAATAATTTTTTATGTGATCGCTTTGGCATTTAGTTAAGGAATATAACCTTACAAGAAACAAAAGCTTGAATTGAGAGACAAAGATGGAGAAAAAAAATCACTTTTAAAAAGTATATTACCTTTAAATAAAGGTCTGATGGGTTTGTGAAAAGGGATCAACCAACTGTTTAAGACTTAGAAATGGTTGGTTTTCATGTAGCCTTGAAGAATAATTCTATTGGAGAGAGAGATGCTCTATTGATTGTTACCCTTACAAATTCTCTTTCTCTTCTTGATTTATGGTCATAATGAACAACACTCTCAAATTCTCTTCTAGACTCGATAGCCTTTTTACGGTGCAACCAAAAACCTATAGATTCCCTACCAAGGAACCCCATTTTACCTATGGTCAAGGGTATCTTTTCCTGTTCTATGACTTGCTTTGCCACGTGGCTAAAAGATAGTTGTTTGTGATCACCTCTTTGATTCAAATAACCCAAGATATATATATCATGGCCATTATTAAAAGAAAATGGGAGCATCTGCTACAGAGCAATCTGCTGAAGTGAACGATGGTAAATGAGCCGGCTCAATTCATGGGGTCCCTTGATTCCTTGGAGTAATTATTGTAGACGATAATAATATACTCACTATGATTCTCCTTGTGTACTATGAATTTCGTCACCACATTCAAAAGAAGGAAAAGAATGAACAAATGATTACGTCATTTGTCCAAGTGGCTAAAGTTTGTTCCCCATTTTCATTTTTTACCCATTTTCATTTTTTTTATTAAAAAATGAAAACCATGACCTACAAAAGACACCAGACTCCTAATGCTCAATACAGAACTGAAAACTGCCATCGAGATTAACAAAATATCTCCTTTTATATAAAAAAAATATTTCTTTCTAAATGGGGTCCTTGTGATTTATTTGCTTTTGTTAGAGACAAGAAATGATCAGTGGTTAGGTGTCCAGTTAGCAAGTTCAAGATTAAGACCCGACGGCCTCATAGCCCCTACTCTTAGGGTCCATTTGTCTCTTTCTTCAATGTAAATTCCTTTACGCTAATACAAAATTACAAATGTATATATAGGAGTAGTGCAAAAACAAATAGTGCAATCTCTTGTTTATTTTTGTTTTAGGGGTTACATGTAGGGGTGCAAATTGTATCTGAAAGTGCAAGTTTGAATTCGATATTTGATATAATCAAATCAAGGTTCTAAATATTGATACACCCAATACGTTGGTAGGGGCCTATCGGGCAGTATCGATACTTTTTTTTTTTTTTAAACCGTTTCAAGGGAGTTGGTTTTAAAGTTCCTCCACCCACTGAATCAGTCAAAAACCCAATACACCCTCTGTAGGGCGCGTATCGAGGTGTTCCCGATACGTGTCAATTTTTTGAACCTTGAATCAAATCTTGTATAAAAAAAGATATAATCAAATCAAATTTTGATAATTTGAATATTATGATCATCCAGTTTCGATATGACATTATTTGATTTAATAAATATCTAAACCAATTATATATACTAGTGTAAGGGCACCTGTTATATGCATGTGTACAAGTAAATGGCAAAGATGTAAGAGGGCACTGTATAATTAAATTTAAATTTTATGACTTGCACTAAAATCAAGGCAAGTATCTATTTCATAAATAGTATAGACATATATTAGGTAATTAAAAATACAACTCGGGTTGATCCTAAGTTAGCTTTAAACATTGCTTTGGGTTTGGATTTTCAGGCAAGGCCCATTCAATTTTTTGACAAAATCCCAACCTGAGCTTGCCCAAACAGACTTAGATAGTTTGGTCACATGTATAAAAGATCATCAACTTCATCACTCAAAAGGTGATTTATTATAAATTCAAAGGACAAAGGACTAGGAATAAACCAAAAAGGATATGGATAGAAATAAGAAGAATGATTTAAGCATTAATAATTTATTAGTATATATGAATTTAAATAGAACTGATTGGCAAACAAAATTCATATAAACCAATCCTATATAATTGAGATTTTTTTGGGTGGAAATATAATTGAGATAAGGTATGCATGATGATAATGATGATTAACACATTATATAAATATTTATATTAATTACCTTAAATAATTGATCGGTTGGATTCAATGTACATTGGATATTGAATCCAATTCTCTAACTGAATTTTAATTCAAATCTTACTTGATTCTATGCAAATTAGCTCCCTTTGCACCCCTAGCCATCTGCCTCTACTCTAAGAGGCAAATTAGTTGCTTTAGGCTTCACTTTTGCACTAGTACAAATGAAATTGCATTACTTCTTTGCAAAAATTATTGCAGTTACGGCACTAAGATGAGAAAAATGTCCTTACGCAACTGATTGCCTTTCATTTAAGTTAATTAGACAGTTATTGAAGATAGTTTGATGCGTTAAAGCCTATGGGCCTGTATTGGTGAGGTGAGCCTCGCACTGGGGCCCACATGTCAAGCTGATGTACTTTATTATGATTAGCTAGCTAGCCAAGTATCTCTTGGTTACCTTGGACGATGGCTTACGTAAGCTTCCTGCCACGTGTAAGTCAATGGGTCGTGTAGAGATTCCTTCGCTAGTCTCAAGTTCTCAGACAAATTGATGATAGTGGCATGACTGTAATTTTCGCAAAAGACAGGGTGTAAAAGAGACCATCTCTGAAAATAATCTACCAATTTTTTTGTTGTCGTTTAGTAACCCAATTTTAATCTGGTTTTTGGAGCGGGGGCCAGGTTGTGTCAACGGACGCCAAACTGGATTCAAATACAGTTGAATCTCCGACCCTCGAAGGAGAGAGGAGAGAGAAAGGGAGTCCCTTCCTCAGAGCTTCTCTCAATCATTCTCTCTTCTCTTCTTCCTCCAATCATATATTTCTCTCACTCTTCTCTCTTTCTCCCTCACTATTTCCGGCGAGGGAGCACCCAGTAGAGGAGTAGAAGAAACAAAGAATCTCTCTTCTTACGTGAATTTCCCTCCTTCTGTCTCTCGATCACGACGAGATTTCCTTTGAATCTCTCGAAAATCCATCTGTAATGGCGTTCTTTCGACTGTTCGTCCTCCCAATTTAGGGTTTCATTAACTGAATTCTTGATTTTTCTGTACTGATTCCTTTAGCCTGTCCCGGAGCTTGGAGTCCGAGGGGTTGCTCACGAGTGATCCATTGGGGGTAGGCGATCTTTGCTTCTCTTCTTTCTTTTAGAGATTTTTACTGGTTCTTGATTGGTTAATCGTGTATTAATGCAAAATTCCGTTAGTTTGACATGTTTGTTGGGGAGTTTAAATTTGGTTCGGTTTGTGATCGGTTCAACTGTTATATAAAGTAGTGATCTGTTGGCGTGAAACAGCGAAGGGTAGGGGCAAAGGTCGTGTCTTTAGTTCGCAGGGGAAAAAAGATCCTTTTTCGGCTGATGAAGTTTTTTTAGTTTTCTTATGATTATTTTTGCTGGAGTTGTGGTTTGCTCAGCTTTTCTGATACTATGAACCTTACCGTGCAAACCAGAGACTGATTGAGCTTATGATGAACATAAGCTTCCTGCTCTTCCTATTTTCGGTCTCCTTGTATTCTGCTTTGTGTTGCTTGTAATTTTGTTTGCTCATACTTTCTCTGGTTCTAAGCGGATGGTTTGTTCAGGCTACTTTTTTTTTTTTTTTTCTTTTTTCAATTCTATTTAGTTTTCTGGTTGTGTATCATAGGAATGTTTTCATCCGACTCGGTATCCTCCAGAAGGTCGGTCCTATGTCCCAACTCCTGAGAAACCGCCATTTCCTTCGCGCGCTTCTAGAAATGTGATTTGTCCTTCATCTTCGAAAAAAAATTAGTAGCTTTTATATTTATAAGTAGCGAAATTTTGTTTGAAACAAGATTTTGTCTTCGGGGAAGCCCTTCAATTTGAATTGAGATATCGGTTGTATCTCATCTCCATGACTAAATTTCTCGGTAACACTGTTATGAATGTGGTTTCAAGGGCAATCTTGGGTTTCCTGAATGCTAACCTTTTCAGAACTAGCCACTAACTGATCCCAAACCTCATTCTTTGCTCGAGAATAGGCATTCTTTCTATCTAGTGTCTTTGTAATGTCTACAAGGAAGTCCTGTATAGTTAGTTATGTTTATCAATGTCAGGTCTAATATTTCTCTCTCTATATTCATTGATAAAAAAAAATCTATCAATGTGGTATGATTACAAGATGGAATGAAAGCTTCATCCTTTGCAGTAATTTCTTCTTTGGGTTCACAAAGAGAATATTTTTCCATGTGAATTGCAAAATTAAATTTTAATTTATGTGCATGATACTTATCTTTCATATCATAGTTCATTTCTGTGTCTTTTCCCCTTAGCCCTTGATGGTATAATTACACAATGGGATATGAGCTTCATCTTTAGTAGTATTATATTCACTAATTGGATCCGTGAAATGATTGTCAAAGAGACATCTGACATTGGGGGTGTTTCATTTTATTACTATTTGCAGAAGTCAGTGGGATGGAGCAGTCTTCAGATCATTCATTCTCAGGTAGTTCTATGTGTCTTCTATGTTTCTTTCTAATGAGGAGTCTTTTCTGTTTTCTTCAATTGATATTATACAACATATACATGCAGGTGCATGCATGTCAATGAGTATAAAAGATAAAATCATCAAATTCATGTATACATGCTTCTTTGGTCTATTACTTATTCTTGTTGTTTGTTGCAGGTCCTTCTAAGATACCATCAGTAAATATTCCTCAAAAAGTGAGAAGTGGTGCATGGGGGATTCCATCTGGATCTGCTGCATATAATGCCTCAAGTGATGCTAGCCTCTTTTCATGCTCATTACCTGTTCTTCCACATGAAAAGTGTATGTTCCAGCTCTCCCCTGAAGATGCTATAGAAAACTATGTACCATAAATGAATTTTCAACTTATTATTTGTCAATGTGCAGTTAACTTTGCAGATTTGGAACATGGGGGTCAATCTGTTGATGATGCCTCATCCACCTTAAATAAGCTACCTCAAGATGTGGAAGGTAAGGATCCTACTGAAGATGTTGGGTCACATGCAATAGGAAGCCTTCTACCTGATGATGAAGATGAACTCTTAGCTGGCATAATGGATGATTTCGACCTTAGTGGGTTGCCTAGTCAATTGGAGGACCTAGAAGATTATGACCTTTTTGGAAGTGGAGGGGGTATGGAGATGGATTTTGATCCTCAGGAGAGTCTCAGTATGGGTATGTCAAAGGTAAACTTAAATGATGGCATTGCTGGCAATGGGGCTACTCAGTATGGTCTTCCGAATGGTGTTGGAACTGTTGCTGGGGAGCATCCATATGGGGAACATCCCTCTAGAACACTCTTTGTGCGCAACATCAATAGTAATGTTGAAGATTCAGAACTGAGAAGTCTGTTTGAGGTTAGTGAAATGTTGTTTCAATTTGGTTGTGGCAACTTTTGTTTTTGCCATTAGTTTCTTCTTTTTTATTGCTAATGAATAGAGTTTCTATTTCCATACATTTTTTATTGGTTGAAGGTTTTCTCCTCTTATTGTTCTTGCTACTGCATTATTCTTTCTATGAGGGGAGAGTTTTTATTCAAAGGTTCACTTGATCCCAGGGAAAGAAAATGGTTTGTAACATTACAAATTGTTGGGCCTTATATCAGGTTTTAATTCCTTTTTTTTTGTTTTATTGCCTTATGTGTTTTTGCTCACTGACTCAGGCAAGGCATTTTCTTAGTGATAAAGAGTTGAAAAGGGAATCCCCACCTTTGATGATTTCAGGAACAGGGGATATTACAACAGTATAGGCTAACTCTTAATAAGGAATTACAACATTCTTCATAAAAAAGCTCCAAGTAATCACCCAATGGTGACCAACTGGCGCCAATAACTGACTACAGAAATTCATAAATTTTCATTGCAGACATATGGTAGAATCTTTGCAACACAATTTAGTTAAATAGATATGATTAAAGAATCTTAAGTTATAGATCTCATAGATAAATTATTCAGTCTTCTCAAATGGTTGTTAAATATTGAGATTAATTTTCTTTTGTCAAGGAAAGATGGAATTTTGGTTGGAACTTGGAATATTTTTTATGGGTACTTGGGTAGAATTTCAGTTAGGACATATGCCTTGGATACCTTTAGGGAAAATATAACTTGACTACTGAACTGCAGAGATGATCTGAGCCTGAGGTACTCTAGAACATATATCTAACCCTTGTATTCTTCAGAAAAATCCACGTAGTGGCATCTGTTTTTCTAATGGATCACATGTTGAAACTTTTTTCCAATGCAATTTTCATGACTCTGATGTCCTTATAGGTTTTTTTGGCAGGTCCTTACAGCCTTTTTGCTTTCCCTCCTCTTGCTTGTATTGAGTATGAGACTATGGGGATGTCTCAATCATCATGTTCATATTTCATACTCTTAACATGATTCACTTACTGCATTTAGTAAGAAAAAAAAGAAGAGAAAATCTGGAAAAAATTATAGAACTGAAGAAGGCATAGAAACACGGTCATTTATATCAGATGAAACAGCTGATGTATGTAATTAATTTTGTAACGTTAGATCAACCCTTGTGAACTGCCTGGTGCCAATTTGGGACTTAGGGTTGGAAAAAAATGGTTATTGAATCATAGATGATCTTGTCAAATAGGTTGAATGGAGCAGATCTTGTAAATAATTTAGTAAAACCACAGAGATTTATCATTTATCAACAAAAAAAAAACCACAGAGGTTTGTGGATGTGGAGGGAAGAGAGGAAGAGTGAGAGATGCGTGCTTTTTTGGGGTGAGGGGTGGCAATGGGCAGGATGGATGTGGGTTGAGCTTCAATCTATCCATCTAATCTGTTGACACATTAATGACCCATTTAAATAAAATTAAATGGCTAGAACCCAACCCAAACCCACCTTGACCCAATCCAACTTGCCCAACACATTAACCTTGTAATGCGTCGCATGCATCACCTTGTGCCAGTGTGCCTTGCACTTTGGAAGTAATGAGGTCTAAATCTTGTGTTAAGTTAGCATTTGGAGGAAAAGACAATTGTTATTTAAAGATCTAATGAAGTATGCTACAGAATTGGAAGTAATGGAAGATCAAAGTTTCCAGAGGTCCATAGTGCTTAGATACTTAATTTAGCATGGATCTCTGTTACAGGTTGACAATGTTAAAGGGGAATTCAGTAATGACTAACTTTGTGGTTGAGATTTTATGCGTTTCACATTCTAACAAGGAAATGAAAGATCCTAATAATTGGGAACTTCATTTCATGGTAGGTTTCTGGCATAAGCTGCATGACAAGTAATCCTTACACAGGGAGGAAATGGAAAAATTACAAGCAGGTAATGTTTGCTGAAACTAGGGGTACAACTTGGACAGCCTTGGATTGACAATTTGTTAATCTTGAACAGTAGAAAATCTTCAATTTGGGTGCCTTAGTTGCACCCCTATCTGAAATATGTTCTACACTTAGGTGGCTGAGTATTAGATCTTGGATATAGGTCAATATGCATCAAGACTTCCAACTGTTCCCAGTACTGCATTCATACTCAAGCCTGGCCCAAGTGGGTGTTGCTTGACAGAATAGTATGTTTGTACCATAACGAGCAAATGGTGAAATTCATATGGAAAGGTTTTGTTCTACATTTAGAATCTCATTATTTGCTGGTATATATATATTTACTTTCTCTTTAGCTGTGTCTTCATATATTTTCGCTTACTCTCATTGTGCAAGCATATAATGCATATTGCAAGATTAGTAGGCGGATTTGTGTGTGATCCCTAGAAAATATTGGGTATGCTAGGACTCTTGTAAATTTTAACCATCCCCAGTTCAAAATTTCTTTTTTTTTTTTGATAAATAACATCAATTTCATTAAAATAATGAATAGATACAAGAAGATCCCCTTAGAGGCACGAGGAGCAGCCTCTCCAAACAGCAAATACACAAACTACAACAGAGAAAACATGAATGTTGAAATTAAAACAATAGTTACAATTGCGCCCAGAACAATGTTTCC